TAACGGTCTGTGACAGGGAAGTCTTTTGTTACATGAATAATGTGTGAACAGGTTTGTCAGTGCACGTTTCGCTTCTTTGGGCTTAATGCTAGGTAGGGTTGACGCCCAGACTATGCTTCCTTGGTTGCGCACAAGACTTGACAAACCACTGTTCACAAGTGTTGACAAACCATTTGTCAAATCATACCGTGTTGACATAGACCAATCACGCTAGGAAGGAAAATGTTGGGGCATCTGTGATCTTTTGACGATGTGACTGTGGCACTTACCTAATCTGAATCAGTGTGGGCAAAGTAGGACAGATTTTGCATCTGTCACTTGGATTAGCCAAATCATTTTTTGGGGCGGACCAAATGCGTTTGAATTATTGCACGTCAACTTCGAGGCGGTGACAAACATGCAGGGCCAAGGGCCAACACAACATGTCGGGCAGGGACGGGAAACGGAGGGAGCAAACACGTCATCCCAAGTAAGGGTCGAGAATAGACACAGCAAGGTGCCATTCCAAACCAAGGCAAGTATTCTTGTAATCTCACACCACTGGTTGTGAAGAGACTCTTTTCTCACAGAAAATTGCCTTCAGAGCAAAAACCGGTGAGAGAAGACGTAGCTGAAAGAACGGGGAACCCTTTTTCTCAAGCCAGTAAGTCGGAGAAAAAATTGGAAAAGTAGCATCTGAAACAGCAGGGTTACAGCAAAAAGTGGCCCCACTGGGATAGCAAATTTTGTGCCAGCAAATCTCTATATAACTGTCCTTTGACGAAACCTGGGTGCAGGAATCCCCCTTTAGCATTAAACAGTAGCCCAAACCATCAGCACAATATAAATTTAACCAAACCTTTTGCCACACGCTTGCCTGGCTGCTTTGTTCGTAACTAAGAACTACCGCGTCCAACAAGGTTCAAAGTGGAAACTCTGAGCGCGTGCTCGTGGCATTAAGGCATCTATTGTTGTTGCTGTTGCTGTTGCCGTTCTTGGTGTTGTTGTTGTTCTTCTTCTTCTTCTTCGTCTTGTTGTTGTTGTTGTTCTTCTTCTTCTTCGTCTTGTTGTTCTTCTTCTTCTTCGTCTTGTTGTTGTTGTTCTTCTTCTTCTTCTTCGTCCTGTTGTTGTTGTTGTTCTTCTTCTTCTTCTTCGTCTTGTTTTTGTTCTTCTTCTTCTTCTTCTTCTTCGTCTTGTTGTTGTTGTTGTTGTTCTTCTTCTTCTTCTTATTCTTCGTCTTCTTGTTGTTGTTGTTGTTCTTCTTCTTCTTCGTCTTGTTGTTGTTGTTGTTCTTCTTCTTCTTCTTCGTCTTGTTGTTCTTCTTCTTCTTCGTCTTGTTGTTGTTGTTGTTCTTCTTCTTCTTCTTCGTCTTGTTGTTGTTCTTCTTCTTCTTCGTCTTGTTGTTGTTCTTCTTCTTCTTCGTCTTGTTGTTGTTGTTCTTCTTCTTCTTCGTCTTGTTGTTGTTGTTCTTCTTCTTCTTCTTCGTCTTGTTGTTCTTCTTCTTCTTCGTCTTGTTGTTGTTCTTCTTCTTCTTCGTCTTGTTGTTCTTCTTCTTATTCTTCGTCTTGTTGTTCTTCTTCTTCTTCGTCTTGTTCTTGTTGTTGTTGTTGTTGTAGTTCTTCCTCTTCTTCTTCTTCTTCGTATTGTTGTTGTTCTTCTTCTTCTACTTCTTCGTCTTGTTGTTCTTCTTCTTCTTCTTCGTCTTGTTGTTGTTCTTCTTCTTCTTCGTCTTGTTGTTCTTTGTTTTCTTCTTCCTCTTGTTGTTCTTCTTCTTCTTCTTCGTCTTGTTGTTCTTCTTCTTCTTGTTGTTGTTGTTCTTCTTCTTCTTCGTCTTGTTGTTGTTCTTCTTCTTCTTCGTCTTGTTGTTGTTCTTCTTCTTCTTCGTCTTGTTGTTTTTGTTGTTGTTCTTCTTCTTCTTCGTCTCGTTGTTCTTCTTCTTCTTCTTCTTCGTCTCGTTCTTCTTCTTCTTCGTCTGGTTGTTGTTGTTGTTGTTCTTCTTCTTCTTC